AAACGATCTGAAGCCTGCATCACAAGCAAGGGGAAAAAATCAATAAGGTAGGGTTGCAGATCAAGCTGGATGAGCAAGCATCTGAAACAAGTGATTAAGAGAAAGCCTGAAAGGAATGGAAGATGGGATGGATCAGCAAGGAAAGTTACCTCTTGGAGGTCAGAAAGTTTAGGGTTAGGGCTAGGGGGTTAGGGTTAGGGTTGTCAGGGATCCAGCGGGTAGTGTAGACATACCCAAAGTTCTAGTCTCTTAAGTCTCAGAGATTTAGTGGACGGAACTGTGATTATTGAGGGCTGCACAATGTCTCACAATCACAGCTGCCACAAGGAGTTCATGAGGTGTTTTCTCAAAGATTCCTGAAGCTCAGCCGAAGTGTGATTATGCAGATACAACACTCTTGAAAAACCACAGTTACTGGAAGATACTTTCCCCCTGCAAGACTCCTTTTAACTCTCTCTTTCCCAATTATAAAATATTGTAGATGCGTCCCAGCATGGTGAAGTAGTTAGAGATTTGAATTTCTGATAAACTTTTTATATTGAAATATTTTTAAAATTATAAATCCAATACATAATTTGTGAGAAGATGGCATCTAAAGATTGGGTAGAGAATGTATTATTTGTTTTCATCTTTTGGTCCCTGTAGTCAGTAGTAATAGGAGCTTGTTATCAATGTTAGACTTACAGATATTGTTTCTGCTTGCTATGAGAAATGTCAGCCTATTAATTGCTTATCTGCAATGTTCCTCCAATGGAAGCTGTAATTAACCTTTTCATTTTATGTCTGACTCATCTGCTCTTTAAAACAATAATAAACATTGGAGAATGTTGCAGGGCTTTGGTGTTTTCCTATATAACAATGCCCATATGTGCTATTTCCTTTCTCCATCTGCCCCTGGCTTTTCTGATCACACTCCAACACAAGAGACTGCAGCAAGTTGCATCATGTCAGCCTCTGGGCTGTGTCAATGTGACATAAAAGTAGCTAGGGAGGAAATGTCCCTTGTATGTTTCTTTTATTTTCATTGTGTTTATTACTGAATTCTTCCCTTCTCCCAGCATCATATCTCCTCCTTTAAACTCTTTGCCTTGTTGTCTTTACTTGACAATTTATCTAATGTTGTTCAGCCTTCTGCATGCCCTAAAACTGAATTAGGGAGAGTGAGCTCAGACATGTCTTTATATGTGTCTGATGTGCTCAGAGTAAAATCCCAAGCAGGTGAGTTATGCTCACAACTAGATACTGTGGTGCTTTAGAAATACAATACAGAGAGAAAAAAGGCCAGCAGGGTACTTCCTACCTTATTTTAAAATCTCCTTACTAAAGGAGAATCTGCCATCCTCCAAGGCTAGGGATGCACTGGGTCATTAAAAAAAAAAAATGGCAATGGGAGATATCCCTGAATGGGAAAGGAAGTAAAAGATAAATGGGACTTGTATTAAGCAGTTCATATTTCCACTGGAAATACTGACATGAGGTTAGAATAGTGTGGGATATCTAACAAGATATGAGCTTAGTAGTGATATGGTGGCCAATAGCTTGCATGACCTTCTCATAAGCAAACTAGGGAAATACATCCTAGATGGAGCTACTATAAGGTGGGTGCATAATTGGTTGAAAAACAATTCTCAGACAGTAGTTATCAGTGGTTCATAATCAAGCTGGAAGGGCATATTGAGTGGAATCCTGCAGGGATCCGTTCTAGGACTGGTTCTGTGCAATATGTTCATCAATGATTTACATAATGGCATAAAGAGTATACTTATAAAGTTTGCTGACGATACCAAGCTGGGAGGGGTTGCAAGAGCTCTGGAGGATAGGATTAAAATTCAAAATGATCTGGACAAACTGGAAAAATAGTTTGAAGTAAATAGGATCAAATTCAATAAGGACAAATGCAAAGTACTCCACTTAGGAAGGAACAATCAGTTGCACACATACAAAATGGGAAATGACCGCCTAGGAAGGAGTACCGCAGAAAGGATCTGGGGGTCATAGTGGATCACAAGTTACATACGAGTCAACAGTGTAACACTGTTGCAAAAAAAAAACCCACATAATTCTGGGATGTATTAGCAGGAGTGTTATAAGCAAGACACAAGAAGTAATTCTTCCACTTTATTCCGTGCTGATTAGGCCTCAACTGGAGTATTGTGTCCACATTTCAAGAAAGATGTGAACAAACTGGAGAAAGTCCAGAGAAGAGAAACAAAAATGATTAAAGATCTAGAAAACATGACCTATGAGGGAAAATTGAAAAAACTGGGGTTGTTTAGTGTGGAGAAGAAAAGACAGAGGGGACATGATAAGAGTTTTCAAGTACATAAAAGGTTGTTACAAGGAGGAGGGAGAAAATTTGTTCTCTTTAACCTCTGAGGATAGGACAAGAAGCAATGGACTTACATTGCAGCAAGGGAGGTTTAGGTTGGACATTAGGAAAAACTTCCTAACTGTCAGGGTAGTTAAGCACTGGAATAAATTGCCTAGGGAGGTTGTGGAATCTCTATCACTGGACATTTTTAAGAACAGGTTAGAAAACACCTGTCAGGGATGGTCTAGATAATACTTAGTCCTAACATGAGTGCAGGGGACTCTCAAGGTCCCTGCCAGTCTTATGATTCTATCCCCAGACCCTCAATTACTAATGTCTACAGCTCTGTCCTGGGCTAGCTTTCAATTGTTTCTAGACCCCGGTATGGCACCATGCTCCCATGGCTTCCTCCCTGAAGACTCTTTGCCTTTGGTGGCCAGTCTCTGACTCCAGCTCTCCAGCTGAGTCACTCTTCACATTGGTCTCCTTCTGGGGGTGTATCAGAGTTCACAAATACTGACCCTCGTCAGAGGCTTCAGCCCCTTTCTCTGGGCCTGCTACACTCCCTTCTCTGACGTTAGGCCACTCTGCCTGTAGCCGGTGGTAGTGGGAGCCCAGAACCCCCCCACTACTCTGAGCCCCAACCCAGGGACCCTATGAATAGCCACTGCTACTGTTTCCTGGGCCACTTCCCAAGCAGCCCCTTCACCTTTGACCTTACCTCAGAGTTCTTCCAGCTTAAGTCCCAGCAACCAGCCAGGATCTCCTTCTTGCTGCATCTTCTTCGGCCAGCCAGGAGCACCACCCTTACTTCTCTAGCTCCAGGCAGCAACTAAAGTTTTCTAGTCCTGCAGACCCTTTTATATGAGCCTGCTAGGCCCAGATTGTATGCTTCCCTGAAGCCTCTGGATGCTCCCTTGCAGCTTCTTTCTATGCCGCCCAGAATACACACCTCTACTGCTCCCTTTTTGGGGCAGGGTGTGGTAGGCTCTAGCAGGGGACCTCGGGGCCTGGTACACCCTTGTCACACACACCATTCATGATTTTATAGACCTCTATCATATCCCCTCTTAGTTGTCTTTTTTCTAAGTTGAACAGCCCTAATCTTTTTAGTCTCTTCTTGTATGGAAGCCATTCCATACCCTGGATCATTTTTTGTTGCCCTTCTCTGAATCTTTTCCAGTTCCACTATATATTTTTTCAGATGGGGCCACCAGAAATGAACACAGTATTCAAGGTATAGGCACACCGTGGATTTATATAGTGGCATTATAATTTCTGTCTTATTTTCTATCCCTTTCCTAATAGTTCCTACCATTCTGTTAGCCTTTTTTTACCATTGCAGTGCCCTGAGCTGAAGTTTTCACTCCAGTGACTCTTTTTTCCAAACTCTAATTCCAATTAAGAGAGTTGAAAAGATTTTAAAAATATAGCAAATAATCATTTTTGTCAAGAGACAATGTTGATAAACAAAAAGTTGGTCCAATAAGTGTCCAAGATACCAGCCTGGGACTGTCTTCCCCAAAACTGCAGGGGGCCTTAATGTTTTGTTTTTACAAATAATCCCCACATTCTGAGTTTAGGACTAATCTGTTCTTCCTGGGAAAAGCTCATCCACACATAAAATAGTAAATTAACTTCCAAATTGCAATTCTTTCTAAACTGCACATTTACTGCCCAAGGAGTCACTGCATATGTGTCAATTAACTGAATGTTTGATACTCAGTGGGCTGTCACTATGCATTACAAATCTTAACAGTAATACTCAGTGCTGGACAACCCTTGGATCTTGGATGTAGGCCAGGGTTGTGAAACCCTGCAACACACCAAGCAGCAGTGTATTTGTAATTCTCAATAGCCAGTGTTTGTTTAATCAGATTAATAAGAAAAAAATTATAGCAATAGAGGATCAACCCAAACCAGATGAGGAAGAGAAATTACCTCTCTGTTATCTGCTCAATTTTAAACACTTTGCAATTGTCAGTTCAGGTCTTAGATCAACTTCAAGTTCCCATGAAAAATCAGACACATCACAAAAAAAATCAGTGTTGAATATAAAGAAAGGAAAAACTGAGAGGTAGCATCTCACTAACATGTCTGTTAAGACAACTGGCTTCTTCCCCAGTGCCTACAATATGTGTATATTTATTCATGAAAAAAAGTTACTCCCACCTCTGGATTTTCCTGTATGTCCATCTTCTCTGTCTCTGTGTTTTCGACTGTAAGCTTTTTGAGGTCAGAGACTGTCTATTTTTGTGTAGAATATAGTGTAGATCACACTTCTGGCACTAAATACTCTATTGAAGTTACAGTGTTGTCTGGTAAATTATTTCAACCAGTAACAATGTGTAATGGCAGTATTTCAGTTCCTAGTCAAGGAGATACTTTCCTTAATGTATCAATCCCTTACCCTCTCTTCTAGAATAGAAAATCTAGGCAAAGACACTAACAAATAAGGTTCCAAACAGCAGCTTTCCTCAAAATAAGTGGAGCTCAGCCCTGCACCGAGTGCCAACACAAGGACAAGGCACCACTTCAGTCCCACATAAGTCCCCAAAATATGACTTAAGTAGAACTGAAGCAGTGCCTAGGCCTTGGTGGGTGGCCCACAGCACAGGGTGAATTTCACTTATTATCAGCTTTGCCTGCTATGTTTATGAATAACTGCAGAATAAGAAACCAGTGTTACCTGTGGAGTAGTCTGCATGGCTTGCAGGATCCTGCTCTGCACAGATTAACTATGTTGGTCTCTCTGTAACCCAACAGGTGCCTGAGGGGTCCTTCTCTCTGATGGGAGGGGCTGTTGCTGCTTGTACAGGTCAGTTTCTGACCCCCTGGATTTCCTTTAGAAAATGAAAATAAAAAATCTGAAGTTAATTTGAGCTCAATATGAAAACAAGGCAGATTTGTCTGAGCTGCCTTAGCCTCATCTGCTGTGTCCGTCCCCCCCCCCCCCCACGTGAAATCCTACCCACACTGAATGCAGTGACAAAACTCCCATTGACTGTAACCGGCTCCGCATTTTACCCGGGTTTGTAAGAGCCCTGTAGCAGAGTCAGAGCTTCTCTCACAGCGACTGACACTTACCTGGTGGAAAGCAGCAGCAGCTGCCCCATTATTGATACAATGGGTGTCAGGCCGCCCCTGGCTCTAAAACCCAGGCAGCGATTGCGCTTCCCTGTCCTGCCCAACGTGTGAACGCACTGACTCCAGCCCTTGGACCCTCGCACCCTGCAGAGGGTGAAAGCAAGACCGGGGTCTCCCACTAGGACTGAGCCCGGTGCGGACGGAGTTTTCCACCGGGGACCCTTTGACTTGCCATCCACGGCGGGGTGACCAGGCCCGCGGGACTAGAAGCGACTAGTGCCGCCTCCCTCCGAGCTCTCTGGCGGTTCTCAGGACAGCGCCCACCTGGGCGTCACTGCGGGGAGGAGTCGGAGAGGAGTCACAGAGCGGAGCCGGCACAACCCGAGTTTGGACGCAGCTACAGCACCATGGACAGCCCCAGGTGGCTGCTGCTCGCCGCCGGCTGCTGGCTGCTGCTGCTGCCGCCCGGGGACTGGGGGCTGGAGACCAGGGCACTCCGCAGCTTTTACCCCCAGGAGCGCCCTCCATCCAGCGAGAAGGAGCTGGTGAGTGCCAGCACGAGGGGGCGGGCAGGGCTGACCGACATACCAAGACCAGCTTGGTAGGAGGCAGGAGGGGCTGGGGCCGGCAGCACCCGGTGGGGAGGGGTCGATGGGGTCCTGCCTGCTCCGAACCCACCAGAACCCTCTTGTGTTTTGCAGCTCGGGGCTTTGCAGGAGGCTCTGGAGAAGCTGCAGAAAAAGCGGATTCCACCCTGGGGCAAGAAACTGGGACAAGTGCCAGCGGTAAGGCTCCTTCAGACAATGTATTCTGTAGCCCCGAGCAGGTCAGCCTGTGCTCCCTTGAGCGCTTCTCCCTTGGCACCCTCCTTCTAGACTCAGGGAAGCCGGCACTCCGAGGGCGGTTCCTATCCTGAGTGCAGCTCTGCTGCTCTCTCCGCTTTCTTACAGCGAATTAGCTCACTTCCTATTACTGAAAGCAGACTTTGGGGCATGGCCACTGAACGCTCTTCTCATCCCCACAGCAGGGTCCTTCAGCACAAGAGTCAAACCATGGGGAAGAAAGGTTCTGGCGTCCACATATGATGAGTTCTAAATATCTAGATGACAAAGACAGATATTGGGGAGGGTGAATTGTGCTGAGGCCAAAGAGCGGAAAGGGGCATTTTCACCAACACTAAACTTGAGTCACTAAAGAAACTTTCTTGCCTTTCTACTCTGCTGCAGTGCGACGTGGGGGAGCTATGCGCCGTCAGAAAAGCCTCCCGAATTGGAAAGCTGTGCAACTGCCCCAGAGGCGCCACCTGCAACTTTTTCCTGCTGAAATGCTTGTAAACCTCAATACCTCCAGGAGCTAAGATAACAAAAGAAACCAAATCCTGTTGAACTGTGCTTGACACGCACTGCTTTGTCTTTGTTGTTGTGTTTTTTTCTATTTAGTCAATAATCTACCCATGTAAAATACTTATCTCCTTTGTAAAATATTTCTTCTCCCTCTGTATTTGTCCTCAGATTAGGAATGAAGACCACAGAGGTAAGGCTTCACAACACTTATTAAAGATCAAAACATAATAATTTAACTGAAAATTAAGATTTTTTTCATAGATCTTCATAGATTAATCCAAATATTTAACAGAATTAACTCAATGTAATCATGTAACGTAATAGGATGGCAACATACACTTACATACCAGTTATAATAGGGGGGCAGTAACAAATCCTATATTTACATTGCTTAGCACTTTCTATTATAATTTTTTCTTACAATTTTTGGAAGAGCTGTAGTGCCTCCATTATTTTCAGCAAGAACTTGAAACTTGGCAGGGGTGCTGTTAAAATGCATTAGGCTTATATACAACCATGCAGAGTTAGGGTTCCACAGGTAACTTTAATTCTGGTACACCTCTACCCCGATATAACGCAACCCAATATAACACGAATTCGGATATAACGTGGTAAAGCAGTGCTCCGGGGGGGCGGGGCTGTGCACTCCGGTGGATTAAAGCAAGTTCAATATAACACGGTTTCACCTATAATGCGGTAAGATTTGTTGACTCCCGAGGACAGCGTTATATCGAGGTAGAGGTGTATTTCCTAACTTTGGAGTGCTTGACTTTGCAACTTCAATACCATTCTTTTAATATAGGGTTGGTTTGTTAGTTTGGGTAAATTGTGTGTACTGAAATAGAAAAAAGATTTCAAACAAGAAAATTTGCAACTGGAAGCATATGAAGTGAAAATGAATATAAATTCACAGATTTTAAAGCTAGAAGAGAACATTATGACAATCTAGCCTGACCTCTTGCATAACACGGAGAATAGAATTTCACCAAGTCCTTCCCACATCAAGCCCATAACTTCTGGTAGAACTAAAGCATATGTTTTAGAGGAGCATCCAATTTGCCATAAATGCTTCAAGTGATTGAGAATCCATCCTGTTCCTAGGTAAATTGTTCCAATGGTTAATTATCCTCACTGTTAAAAGTTTGTGACTTATTTCTATTCTGAATTTCTCTAGTTTCAGTTTTCAACCATTTGATCTTGTTATGCCTTTGTCTGCCAAACTAAAGATCTGTCTAGGAAGGAGAGACTGTCTAGGAAGGAGTATGGCAGAAAGGGATTTAGGGGTTATAGTGGACCACAAGCTAAATATGAGTCATCAATGTGATGCTGTTGCAAAAAAAGCAAACATGATTCTGGGATGTATTAACAGGTGTGTTGTGAGCAAGACACGAGAAGTCATTCTTCCGCTCTACTCGGACATGCACTGCATCTGGGATCAGCAAGGACTGAGAATGCCATATGTGTTTTACTGAAGAATGCTATTGTGTGTTTGTTTCTGCTTGTGGGTAACTCTCATTTATATTTGAGATTTCTAGAGCAAAGATGTATCTTTTCACTAGACAAGATGGCCTTAGATCAACCATTAATCCACCAGCCTCTTTAGGGCTGAAGCTATCTTGATTTACAGTACAATCGTTATAATTTAATGTAGATGATATTTAAATTCAGGTTATAATTAAATCCCACCTTTGGGTGCACAAGTTATGGTGCAAGATAAAGCTCTTTATTCATAAACTACGTGAACACACATATGAACTTGGTAGGGGCATAAAACTCCACATAGTACAGTTTTATTGATCCAACATTGTAATATGACATCTATGTCAGTGATGAACAGCAAGTGCCAAGGCCCAATTCCCCAATCCTTACTTAGGCAAAATTACAACTTCAGTGGAAGTTTTGTCAGCATAAAGACATATGTTTTGCTTCCCTGATGTATGTAGCCTGATGGAATACTAGTGATGACTCCAGAATTATGTCTAAAATTGATTGTGTATGAGAGTTAGAGTGCTTTTATGTAACAATGATGTGCCATCCTAGGGCCCTATTCATCAGACTGGAATTAAGGCATACATTTTTAATGGTGAGAATAATTAAGCATTGGAACAATTTACCAAGGGTCATGGTGGATTCTCTATCTCTGACAATTGTTAAATCAGGATTGGATTTTTTTTTAAAAGCTGTGCTCTAGGAATTATTTTGGAGAAGTTATGTGATCACAATGGTCCCTTCTGGCCTTTGAACCAATGAATCTATGAACTTGTGTGTGTGTGTGTGTTTCTAATGGAGTCCTCTGGGGAATGGTTCTTGGCCCTAAGCTATTTAACATTTTTATCAGTGACCTGGAAGAAAACAGAAAATCATTAAATGATAAAATTTGCTGGTGACAGATATTGGGAGTGGTAAATAATTAAGAGGACTGGGCACTGATACAGAGTGATCTTGATGTCTTGGTAAGCTGGGCACAAGCAAACAATATGTGTTTTAATATGGCCAAAAGTAAAGCCATACATCAGAACATAAACTATTCTTACAGGATGGGGGACTCTAATCTGGCAAGATGTGACTTAAAAGAACTTTGGGGATTGTGATGCATAATCAGTTGAACATGAGCTCGCAATGTGATGCTGTAGCCAAAAGGGCTAATGTGATCCTTGGATATATAAATGGGAATATCAAGTAGGAGAAAAGAAGTTATATTACCTTTGTATTTGGCACTGGTGTAACTGCTACAGGAATAGTGTGTCCAGTTCTGGTGTACACAACATAAGAAGGAGGTTGATAACTTGGAAAGGATTCAGAGAAAGGCCACAAGAATGATTAAAGGACTGGAAAATACCCCTATAGTGAAAGAGTCAAGGAAATCAATCTATTTAGTTTAACAAAGAACAGGTTAATGGGTAACTTGAGCACAGTCTGTAAAATAACTACATGAGGAACAGAAATTTGATAATAAAGTGCTATTCAGTCTAGCAGAGAAAGGTGTAACAAGACCCAGTGGCTGGAGGTTGAACCTAGAAAAATAAAGACTAGAAATAAGGCAGAGTCAAGGTGGATGAGGTAATATATTTTATTGGACCAACTTCTGTTGGTGAAAGAGACTACTTTCAAGCTACAGAGCTCTTCCTTAGGTCAACAACACTAGAATTAAGGCACACATTTTTAACAGTGAGGGTGATTAACTATGAGAACAATTTACCAAGAATTGTGATGGCTTTTTCATCACAGTACATTTTAAAATCAAAATTGGATGCTTTTCTAGAAGATATCCTGTAGTTCAAACAGGAATTAATTCAGGGAACTCCTATGGCCTGTGTTATACAGGAGGTCAGATTAGATGATCACAGTGGTCCCTATGGATCAGTGTAGTCGCTAACAAAACCCAGGAGAGGCACTAGTGGTGGTCTGTTACAGATCACTAAGGCTAAGATTATGTCACGGAGGTTGCGGAAGTCATGGAATGTGTGACTTCCAGCGACTTCCATGACAATGGGGGCCCGCAGCTGACCAGCTGCTGCTGACAAAGGGAGACTCCGCAGCAGCCCAGCCCAGCCTCCGTGGGCAGCAGGGGATCCTCCTGTGGGGACCTCCCGCAAGTGACCAGCTACTGCTGTTGGCAGTGACCCCGAAGCTGCCCTAATGCCACCACTGGCAGGGGTCCCCACTGCAGGCAGGGCCCCCCAGCAGCTTTCAGATGCCGCTGCCAGAGGGACCCAGAGCTGGTCAGTGGCTGTGGGCAGGGGAGAGCCCCCTGAAGCTCCCAGCTGGCAGCGGCAGAGGGACCCCAGAGCTGCTCAGTGCTGGCAGGGGGCCCCCTGCAGCTCCCTGATCCCCCCCACAGGGCAGTGGGGGGACCCCTCCCAGCTACTGGTCAATGGAGTCCCTGCAGCTCCCAGCCACTGCAGAAGGGTGCAAGATGCTGGACCCTCCTCCCTCCACATTTTGTCAGGGATGTTTTTAGTAAAAGTCAGAGACAGGTCACGGCTTCCATGACTTTTTGTTTATTGCCCGTGACCTGTCCCTGATTTTTACTAAAAATATCCATGACAAAATCGTAGCCTTACAGATCACCAAATCAAATCAGAGAATTGGAGGAGTTATTCTTTATGCACCTGTATGTAATGTGTGGAAAGAAAAACTGTATTATGATGGGAAACTTTAATCTGGGAGACATATTCTGGAAGTCTCATGCAGCCAGTGGTAAAACAACATTGAAGTTTCTAAAAATTATAGATTATAATTTTCTATCACAATAGGCATTGCATCCAATATGGGGTAACTGTATTTTAGACCTCACTATGATGGATACAGATGAATTAATCACTGGACTGGAAGTTGGTGGTTGCCTAGGGACCAGTGATCATGAGCCGATTATATTCATTATGGGCAAGGAGAGGACAGTTCCAGCCAGTAATGAATACACATGATGCTTCAAAAGGACTAACTGCCCCCCAAACTGAGGAAAATTATACACAAAATTGATTGGGAGGAAAAATTTAGACAGAAAAATTTAAAGGAAAACTGGGGGTTTAAGAAGAGCTTACTGGATGGCCAAAGAGCTACAATTCCACAATCACAACAGAGGACAATTTGGCTAAAAGCTCATCCTGATTAAGAGGGGAAGTGAAGGCATCAATTAGAAATTTAAAAAAACCCTTCTATATAACAAATGGAAAACAGGTTAAGCAGATAGTAATCAGTATAAATTATAAGTAATGAAATGCAGAAAATAGAAGGAAGGTAAAGACAACAGGGAAAAATCCACGGCTGGCAGGGCTAAGGACAACCAAAAGATTTTTTTGAAGTATGACAGGAATAAAGAAAATCTTAATGGCATAAGGTCCGTTGTTAGATGAAAATGGTAAACTTGTCAATAATGATGCAGAAAAGGCGGAAGTGTTCCATAATTATTTCTGTTCTGTATTTGGAAAGAAGCAGGATGATGTACTCATATCACATGAGTATGATGAAGTACTTTTCATTTGTAACTAAGGAGGATGTTAAATAGCATCTAGTAGATAAATATTTTTAAATCCACAGGCCTGGATAATCTTCATCCAGATGTCCTAAAAGAGTTGGTTGAGGAGATATCTGATCTATTTGTGTTAATTTTTAATACACTTTGGAATAAGAATGCAAGAGTACAAATTATTGTGCCAATATTCAAAAGGAGAAACAGGATGAAAAGGGCAATTATAGGCTGGTTAGCTCATCATCAATCCCAGCCAAAATAATGG